GATTCTGAGACCAGAGGGCTACTTGAATTCCCAGGTACTCCCAAAGGGGACATGGTGACCTGAATCACTTCTCTAGTGTACAGACGGCTCCCAACTCGTGATGGTTTGACTTAGAGTTTTACCTCAACGTAAAAGTATAACCACACAGCCTTTCTGTTTTCCGCTCTACAGGAGACAGTATTTTATTATAAAATAGCTTGTGTTAGGAGATTTTGCCCACGGCCAGCTAATGTAAGTGCTCGGAGCATATTTAGGGTAATGTCACTAAGCTGCGCTCTTCACTAAGTTAGGTTTATGCAATTGATAATAATTAAAGATTACATATTGATTATTAATGTACTCAAGAATTTTTCACTGGAGAATTTTTTGAGCAATGATAGTTTCATCAAGACATGGCCCCAGTGTAAACAAGGCACATGGATGTTGTGGGTGAATTGCATTCTGTCGACCCCAGGGTAGATTTTACTCAGCTCTCCCCCTGGCTTGTGGAGTCAGATTCGGTTTCCTTCTGTTGTCTCTCCAGCAGTAGCAACCGTGTCTCCACTCATCCGGGTCAAACAGTAGCCCCGTCTTCATAACATGCCGAGTAACCTGAGCTGTGCAACGTGAGACCGCAAAGGAGGCGTCTGACGACTGAGCTTTCAGTTTTCCTTTTGAAGAAATTTGCGCTTGGCTGGGGGATTGCTTTAACCTGAGAGGAGCCGTCAGGAAGGTTTGACAGGGACTCGGAGCACGGGGCATGTGCTTCTGACTCTCCCAACGCCTTGCTGTGTGACCTTAAGGAGGTCACACGAGCTTCCGCTTTTGCAAAATCAGAGGATTAGACAAGACGGGCTGTGATAGTCTCAAAATATAGAATGGAAAAACTCTCCGTAGACAAGTTTCCATTACCATAAGCTCACTAAAAGAACAGTGGCCTTTAAACTGGGGGGCAGCCAGGCTTTTTCCTTTCTTTTCTTTTCTTTTCTTTTCTTTTCTTTTCTTTTCTTTTCTTTTCTTTTCTTTTCTTTTCTTTTCTTTTTTTTTCTTCTCTTCTCTTCTCCTCTCCTCTCCTCTTCTCTTCTCTCTCTCTCTCTCTCTCTCTCTCTCTCTCTCTCTCTCTCTCTTTTTTTTTTTTTTTTTTTTTTTTTTTTTGAGACAGAGTCTCTCTGTGTAGCTCCGGCTGTCCTGGAACTCGCTCTGTAGACCAGGCTAGTCTTGAACTCAGAGATCTGCCTGACTCTGTCTCGGGAGTGCTGAGATTTCTCTGTCTTTTTTAATGGATCTCTGCCCCCTCCTTTTTAAATCAGTAGGCTTTGTTTTTCTTGCTTTCTGCTTCTGTTTCCATGTGTAGCAGTCATGACTCACTCGTCTTTTCCTCCGTGAATGCGGGTCACAGTCCAGTTGTTCCTGTAGGTCCATCCCAGTCAGGTGCTGGCAGGAAAGGGAAGTCCTAGAGGGCATTCGGGGCTCTTCAGCCAGCAGGTGAACCTGTCGTCTCCTTGTGGTCATCGGTGGAACAACAGCTTCCTGAAGACAGTCCACAGGTCCCAGAGGCTCAGCTGCTTCTCCACCCGTCACCACTCAGAGACATTTCTTGGCCCTATTCTTTACAAAATGTCCTGTTTTCTAGCCAAATCAACGTATTTTGTTGTATCTTGCCTGTGAAATGTATAGGCGGTAGATATTGAATCAAACCGTGAAAGTAAGACAAGGCAACATGTACATTTGACAGGTATCCAGTTACATTTGAGTGGGCTTGCTACCCTAGCTCACCAGAGAAGCGGGCGTTTCACCTGGGCCATCTCTACAAGGCAAGGAGTGGACTTGACACTTGTAAGATGGTTAGCAGTTCCACCGGGAAGGGTATTTTGAGGGCTGGCCTTCAGGTAGGCTCTGCTGCGCTGATTTGTGGACTTGGGGCATGGAGTCAGAGCAGAGGCCCTGGGACTCTGAATGTGTGCTCCCCAGGTGAGCATCACAACCGAGAGGATGCCGTATCTGTCGCTGCCAGGTGGAGAGTCTGTCCCAGGGCCCTAGGTGCTGGGGTGGACATGGGTGGGCACCTCTGAGTGAGCAGACACTCTCTGCTGTGCACCCAGAATTTCTCTGGGACCCCTGCAGACAAGGAAGGTATCCTACCATCTCCCACCAATGGAGTCTGCAAACCAGGGAGGTACTGATATCTCTTATCCTCTCTGTTGGCACAGAGAAGGCAGGCAGGACTTGGGGAATGCATATTGGATGAGTGAAGAATGAGTACATTGATGGAAGATCCCTGAGAAAGAATTCTTAAAGCATAAACCATGATGAAAAAAAAAAAGGAAGGGGTATGGGGGTATGGGTACAGACAGGGTGAGGTCCCCACTCTGCCTGTGGGGCAGCTTCCGGGACGCAGTTGCTTCCTGGAGGAATGCTTGCAGCATGGATGTTTTCTGTGCCTTCCTGGGCAGGGCAGGGCAGGGCAGGGTATTGCAGCTGTTTAGTTTCCGTTTCTCTGGGGGAGGCATGGATGAAGGAGTTCATCTGTAGGAAGGGCTTAAAACAGCTGAAGAGACAAATGAGCTGTCACTGGGAGGCTGGTGAGGAACCTGGGCCAGAGTCCATGGGAGAGTGTAGGCCAAAGGCAACAGGCATTGGTTAAAGTCTTAACGTTCTTTTTTAAAATCAGTTCATAGTCTCTCTTTCTCTCTGGCTTGTGTATTTCCGTGCCCCCCCCCCATGTTTTCAGATCACACCCAAGCTCACCCCACTCTCTACCCTAAAACTACCTCCTGGAAATGCCCATAGTTCTCCTGGCCCGAGGTCTTCCTTTGTTGGTACTCTCTGGTCTGGCTCTCGGGATGTTGTGGTGTCTCCGCCGCTGCAATGCACCAGCCATGACAGATACGGCATCCTCACAGGTGTGATGCTCACCCGGGGAGCACACATTTAGAGTCCCAGGAGCTCTGCTCTGACTGCATGCCCCAAGTCCACAAATCAGCGCAGCAGAGCCTGCCTGAAGGCCAGCCCTCAAAATACCCTTCCCGGTGGAACTGCTAACCATCTTACAAGTGTCAAGTCCACTCCTTGCCTTGTAGAGATGGCCCAGGTGAAATGCCAGCTTTTCTGGTGAGCTAGGGTAGCAAGCCCACCTGTATGTCAGAGAACGACTTGAGGGAGTTCTCTTCTTCCATGTGTGTCCTGGGAATTAAACTGGGTTCCTCAGGCTTGATGCGTGCACCCTGTCTGAGCCATCTCATCGGCCCCTTGATCAGAATACTTAAAAAAAAAGTATGAGTGTTTTGCCCACATGTATTTTATGTGCACCATGAGTGTGCGCAATGCCTGTGGAGGCCAGAAGAGGGTGTTGAATCCCCTGGCACTGGAATTACAGGTGGTTGTGAGCTGTTGTGTTGGTGCTTGGAACTGAACCTTGCGTGGGTCCTCTGCAAGAGCAGCAAGTGCTATTAATGACCGAGCCATCTCACCAGCCTCCAGCTTTGGGCTTTTAAAATCACACCTTTAAGCCAGGAGGTGGTGGCACATGCCTTGTGAGGCCAGTTTGGTCTACAGAGTGAGTTCCAGGACAACAAAAGCTACACAGAGAAACCCTGTCTCAAAAAACCAAACCAAACCAAACCCAAAATGACTCCTTTAGGAGTAGGGGATGTGACTCCGTTGGTCAGAGCAGAGCGTGAGAAGTGCTCAGAGCCTTGGGTTTGATCTCTAGGGAGGTAAAAGCAAGGCTTGGGGGTACATCAGCCCTGCATTCCTAGCACTTGGAGAGGTGGAGATGGGAATTTCAGTTCAAGGTCATCTTTATCTGCACAGGGAGCATGAGACTAGCTCGGGCTAGAGACACTGTCTCATAACAAATAAATGAATGAATAAACAAGGAAATGAAGAAACAAGGTCACATCTCTACCACATGAGAACCAAATATATCCCTTATATATCTCTAAGGTATCTGGGTTAGTCAGCTTTTTATTTCTAGGGAAAAACACTTGTGACAGGCAACTCAAAGCAGGGAAGCTGTATTTTGTCTCCCAGCTTCAGAGGTTCAGTCCATAGTGCCTTAAAAGCCCTGGAGGTTGTTAGCTGGAGTACACAATGCCCTTTCATGGGGAGATCCTGGTGTCTGTGTATGTGGGGCTTCCCCCTCTACCCAAAGGGGGCTTCTGCCTCAGCTTATGTAGCCTCTTCCTTCCTACACATGCCTGATGTCTTAAGTCCTGGCTTCCTAAAAAGTAGCCCTCTCTTGCTTTCTAGAGTGCCTTCCCGTGACACCTTTTTCAGGCTTGCCCTCCACTGCCTGCTGTTTTCTGTGGCAGGCAGGAAGTGATTTACTGCCTCCTGCGTTTCTCAGGCGTGAGTCGTCTCTCCAGACACTGTTAGTATCAGCTGTCTGGGCTTCGCCCTTGTGAGTTTGTGTCTGTTGTTCCCTAAACCGATTCACAAGGGTTTGGACAGGAAGTAGAGACACATGTCTGTGCTGGATTTTCACTGTGTAAGGGATCCCTGTCTTGACCAGCTTTAAAGACTTGTTTAGTCAAGAAAAGGCTGAGATGAGACCTTTATAGGATTCAGCAAAACCGGAGGTTTATATCCAGTCATCAAACTCTAAGATGTTGGAAATATAGAAACTGGAATTTAGAAGTCTTCCATGGTGTTCCCTAGAGAGGCAGATTAACCTGACAATGTGACTTTGAAAAAAAAAAAAAACCTCAGCTCTCTTTCCAACAACATGGCAGGATGCCAAGCGTCTTCTCTAGACCCTTCCTCTGAACTCCAACCCTGGAATCATGTGAATTGTGAACATGCTAATTGCTGCATGTATGTGAGATGTGTTTCTAAATGTGCTTTCACCGGCTCGTTTTCTTTTTAGGAAAGAAATGCATTTACGTTATAGAATGTTCTAGTAGGAGATGGCAGACGTCCTCCTCTGCACCTGAAGTTCCGTCACTGTGCCCCCTTGTCACACGTTCATTTCAGGTCACAGGTGGCGGATTTTCATGGCTAATGCTTTCATTCTCTTCTAGGACACGGGGGTTGGGAAATCAAGCATCGTATGCCGGTTTGTCCAGGACCACTTTGACCACAACATCAGTCCCACCATCGGGTAAGTGACAGACGTGTGTGTCTCTTTTGACATTGTGTCTTTTTAGGGCAGACGTTTCTAACTCCACCAATGAGAACTGATCTCAACACCAGAAATTTAGGGCTATTCTTGTTAATTTTTTTTCTTGCCAACCTTCTTCCTCCTGAAGGACAAGACCATTTTCTTGACTATCGAGACCGTGGATCTGAAAAGCAGGTTGCCGTTATCTCCAGATGGGAAATGCTGTGCATTGTCGGCTCCTGATGGGTGGCTAGACTGCCTGGTTTTCATCCCCAGAAAACTTGACTTTTGGGAGCTGCTCTGCTTCCTGCCTCCTTTGCTACTCACTGTCTTCCGGTGTCAGGCAGACTCAGCTCTCCCGTGTACTTAAGGGTAGCTAAGGCTTTTCCTGACACAGTTCACTTGCACTCAAATTTTCTCTTTTGGAATTTTGAGAAAATGTTTCTAAGCTCCAGGTTCAGGAAAAAATAAGGCTATCAGGAATACTTCCTAAGTGAAACATAGACTTATTGGAGGATGACGGAAATGGAATTCTTAATTTCCAAAAGCTTGATAGATTACCTACCCCAAAGCGTGTTAACTCACTGAGCCAGAATTCTGGCCCGAGGACTCGTTTTGTTTAGCTTTTATGGCACTTTCAAAAATTTTTTAAAAATTTATTTAACTTTATTTTATGAAGGTATCAGATCCCCTGGAACTGGAGTTACAGACAGTTGGGAGCTGCTATGTGGGTGCTGGAAATTGAACTCAGGACCTCTGGAAGAGCAGTTAGTGCTCTTAACTGCTGAGCCATCTCTCCAGTCCTGGCACTTTCAAAATTTTCAGCCAGTGTATCAGTTACATTCCTTCTGCAGTGCCGAATAGCCGTGGGGGAGGGGAGGGGAGCATGGCTTACGCTCGCAGAGGGTTCAGTCCATGGCTGCCTGGCTTTGTACATTGCACAGAACACCATGGTAGCAGAAGCACAGAGTGGAGGTGAGCTGCTGTTCACTTTGTAGTGGCCAAGAAACAGGGGAAGAGAAAATCCAGGAAGAGGCTAGGACAAGATATAGCATCTGAGAACGTGCCCTTAGTGACCAGCTTCCTCTACCTAGACCTCTCTTCCTACTTTTCTTTTCCTTTTTTCTTTTCTTTTCTTTTTGGTCTTTTCTAGACAGGGTTTCTCTGTGTAGTTTTGCGCCTTTCCTGGAAATCACTTTGTAGCCCAGGCTGGCCTCAAACTCACAGAGATCCGCCTGCCTCTGCCTCTGCCTCCTGAGTGCTGGGATTAAAGGCGCGCGCCACCACTGCCCGGCTCTTCCTCCTTTTCATTAATGTTACCCTATGATTAGCCCTTCAAAGGATTAATCTGCTCATCAAGTCAGAGTCCTCGGGATCTAGTGGTTTCTGGAAATGCTCTCACAGACACACCCAGGTGCGTTCCACTGCTCCCTTAGGTATTTCTTCACCACAGCCAATTTTGAAGAACTGAGAGACTTTGTGCTTCTGGGTTTTCTTAAGAGACCCATGGATGCAGAGTGGTGGGCTTTGGCCACCTGCTTGGCCAGCCAGAGCCAGGCACATGCTACGGGGCGATAGATTCTCAAGCTTCAGGATTTCCTATGACTTACTATTACTGTTATTTTTGTCAGTATAATTTTCTCGCCTTATCGGCCTTGCTAGATTATGTTACCTGCCTGATCTTGTGGACGTTTCAGTTCATATCCCTGACCCAAGAGTTAGTTGTGATGGTTTCCACAGGTCGGAGCACATAGGTGGTCACAGAGCTGCAGACTCGACTCGGGCTGAGCCAGGCAGAACTGGGGCTGGGGCTTCCGTATGATAGCACTTGTGTAGCATGGCTTGATCCCAGCACCACCAAAACCAACCAGACAGATGGATGACAAACCAAGGGACTTTGTTCTCAAAGCCTACCCTGTTCTTCCTACTGAAATCACATTTGGAAAAGGACATCATCATCATCATCAGAAATGATGATTCAGAAGCATTAACCCACATCACCTCAGCGACTCATACTAGTAGTCACGCCCATTGTGAAACATAGGTGATTCAAGGGCCCTGTCCAGGCATGAAAGCTGCATCCCTGGAGCTTGCTGCACAGCCTGCACACATGATCATGCATGCGGCAGCTCTGTGAGTAGGAGTCTGTTTTCCACAGCAGCTGTTGCCTTGTGAACCTTGTTTTATTACATTATAAAAGAGTACTTACTGGCGGAGGGTGATGTTTGCATGCATGCCACAGTGTACACGTGGAGGTCAGAGGACAACCTGAGGGAGTGGATTTTTTCCTTCCACCCTGGGAGTCCTGGGGGTCAAACTCAGGTGTTCAGGCTCGGTGGCACACACCTGTACTCTGCCTGAGCTGTCTTCCCAGCCTGCTCTGTGAATCTTGTAAGTTTTAGGAGCATGCTGGGTCTTCTGAGTTTTCTTTACTTCTTGAGACTTCCGGTTTTCACTTCCTTTCTGAGTCTTATGAGCCCCCCCCCTCCCTCCAGGAGGGATGTTTGAAATTGGGTGAACTATCTGAACAGCAGAGTGTAGTGAGAATAAAGATGAGATGTCATTTTCTACCTATTGTAACGGAACATTTGGAAGGTGTAAAACGGTTGTGGAGAAGACCATCTCATAGTTATATGTGTATAGGTTGGTATAGCCTGAATTTGGCATGTGTATCAAACGTGGAGCTTGATTTTTAATAATTAAGTCTAAAGCTGCATATGGTGGCATCTACCCATGATCCTAGCATTCAAGAGGTTAAGGCAGGAGGATTATGAATTTAAGGCCAGCCTTGGCCGCATAGATAGTTCAAAGCTGTTCTGGGTTATATAGTAAGACTCTGTCTCAAACAAAAATAAATAAATAAAAATTAAAATTAAGCCGGGTGATGGTGACACCCACCTTTAATCCCAGCACTTGGGAGGCTGAGGCAGGCAGATCTCTGTAAGTTCAAGGCTAGCCTGGGCTACAGAGTGAGTTCCAGGACAGGCGCAAAGCTACACAGAGAAACCCTGTCTCAAAAAAAATTTTTTTTTTTTTTAAAAAAGACAAGGGGGTAAGAAGGTACAGCCTAGTGGTAGAGCAGGTAGTTAGTGATTATAGTTGAAACTCTGTGCTCAACCCCAGCAATCACCCCACAAGTAAATAAATAAGTGAAAGAGAAGACAGAAAAGTCTGTGGAAACAGTCATATAAGGCCACAGCATCTGCTACAGAACCCTGAATAGACTCATGACATGGTGTGCAACATCAAGTCCTTTTAGACAGTGAGATTGATCAGTGTTCATGGAAAAGGAAAGGCTCATGGAATAGAAAGGGGGAAACCTAACATTATATAGAGCACAATCCATTTTCCAGCTAAGAGTTGGTATAAAAACCGTTGAGGAAGGACTTTTTAGCAGTAGCCATGGCTAGGTGCTGAACTGGGGGTTGATTTTTATTTCCTTCCTTCTTCCTTCCTCCTTCCTTCCTTCCTTCCTTCCTTCCTTCCTTCCTTCCTTCCTTCCTTCCTTCCTTCCTTCCTTCCTTCCTTCCTTCCTTCCT